AAAAAAAAAAAAAAAAGAAAGAAAGAAACTCTGTCTATAAATAAATAAATAATTCTAAATTTGACTGTCATGATGGTTGTATAACTCTGTGAAGGTACTACAGACTACTAAATTGCACACTTTCAGTTGGTGAGTTGTATGTGAATTGTATCTTTTTTTAAAAAGTCTTTTCTGGGTGGTGCCTGTAGCTCAGTGGGTAGGGTGCCAGCCACATACACCAAGGCTGGCAGGTTCAAACCCAGCCTGCGCAAGCTAAAACACCAATGGCAAGTACAACCAAAAAATAGCTGGGCATTGTAGTCCCAGCTACTTGGGAGGCTGAGGCAAGAGAATCACTTAAGCCCAAGAGGTTGAGGTTGCTGTAAGCTATGACGCCATGGCACTTTACCCAGGGCAACAGTTTGAGACTCTGTCTGACAAAAAAAAAAAAAAAAAAAGTCTTTTCTGGCTCAGGGCCCATAGTTCAGTGGTTAGAGCACTGGCCACATACACCAAGGCTGGTGGGTTCGAACCCAGCCAGGGCCTGCTAAACAACAATGACAACTGCAACAAAAAAATAGCTGGCGTTGTGGTGGGCGCCTGTAATTTCAGCTACTTGGGAGGCTGAGGCAAGGGAATTGCTTAAGCTGAGCGGCACAATTGGCTCAGTAAGTAGGGCACCAGCCCCATATACTGGGGATGGCGGGTTCAAACCCAGACCCAGCCAAACTGCAACAAAAACTATCTGGGCATTGTGCCGGGCACCTGTAGTCCCAGCTACTCAGGAGGCTGAGGCAAGAGAATTGCCTAAGCCTTCGAGTTGGAGGTTGCTGTGAACTGTGTGATGCCATGACACTATACCAAGGGTGATAAAGTGAGACTCTGTTTCTACAGAAAAAAAAAAAAAGAATTTCTCAAGCCCAAGAGTTGGAGGTTGCTGTGAGCTGTGACACCCCAGAGCTCTAAGGAAGGGAACATAGCTCCCCCCAAAAAGATATTTTCTGTGCAGGAAAAATTAGTTGTCCTTTTAGTGGGAAATGAATCAAGCAGGGAAGCAAGACTCCCTCAATTCCAAGAAGCTTCAGTCAATCCAATGTCCATGTAAGAACGTCTCCTGCAAGAAACCTTTGTGCCCCATCTTTTCTATTCTGCTTCATTTCACTTTGTAACTTTTTAATAAATGTTTCATTTATTTTATTTGAATTTATTTTCAGATAGTTTTTTAATAAAAACAAGAGAAATATCACAAAATCTAGGGATCAGGGATGAGAGGGTGATTTTCTTTTCAATGTAGGTGTATCCTTTGTACTATTTGAAAAATTTACCACTGACTTAAAAAAAAAAAACAAATATGGCATATCTTGTAAAAAAAAAAAAAAAAAGAAAAGTCCAACTCAAATGTGCAAGAGATACCTGTGCATAATTAATACAAATTCTAAAAAGAGGTGGAACTGCTGGGCAGGGTGGCTCATACCTGTAATCTCGCACTTTGGGAGGTTGAGGGGGAGGATAACCTAAACTCAGAAGTTCAAGACCAGCCTGAGAAAGAGTGAGAACCCGTGTCTACTAAAAATAGAAAAAATAAATAAATAAACAAACTAGCTGGATATTGTGGGGGGCTCCTGTAGTCCCAGCCACCCAGGAGGCTGAGGCAAGAGGATCACTTGAACCTAGGAATTTGAGATTGCTGTAAGTTGTGACACTAGTTTACTCCAATGTCAGACTGTCTCTAAATAATTAAATAAATACATAGAGGTGGGAGAGAGACTTTTAGAGTCTAGAGGGTGGAAAATGTTCTGACCTTATGGGGAAGGAAAGATGAGATATTTGAAGAGTGCAGGAGGGAAGGGGGAGAAGCCAGGGCCTGGACCTACAGCCTTTGCTTTTCGTTGTAGACATCCCAAAACTTGGGCCAGAGCCAGGGCTGGGGCCATGTCCACTGGCCAGATGGAGCCTCCCAGAGGAGCTTGTGTCTGAGACTGACAGAGAAGAAGTACAAACAAGCCAGCTTAGCAGGCTGCATAGGCTTCCCGAAGCAAGGAACACTGAGGGCAAAGAGAGATAAAATATGCGAGCTGGTTCTCAGAGAGCGCCAGAGGTCACTGACCTCTTTAAGGCAAGGGACCAAAGTTGGGCCAGCTGGGCACAGTCTGCCGAGCCTGGGAGAATTTTGGCTCTCATGGAAGCGGGCTGCTCCTCCCGACATGGCCCCAGGGAGTCCCAGAACCCACAGCTCACTCAGGTCCGGACGTGTGG